GGGGGGGGGTGACGGGGGGTGACACAATAGACTTCTCACCATTTTAATTGTGTTTCAATGCATTTTGCCCAAGGTGAGACTCAGACATTTCACTTTAGTGAATTCCACCTTCTGCTCGCTCAAGGATTTTTGTTGTACTGTGTTCTGGCTGACTTTTGCGTAATTGCTTGTTATTGTACTGTTGTGAATGTATAATCTAGTAACATCCCAGTGGCACCCAGGAAATGAGATGTGACGCCGTCAACAGAGCTTTGTGATGAGAGATATTTGTGCGACATAAAATAACGATTTTCAATTAAAGGCCGTTTGCAGCAACATTGTCTTGAACTCTGCAGGGGAAAAAGACATTCCCTTTTACACATACACAAATTATTGTGGCTATGTATTTGTGCTTCATTGCACTCTGCTTATTTGTTTTACTACAATAAAAAACTCTTTTAGCCAAAAGCAGGTTTAACGATAAAATGCACCAACCATAAATATAGCAGGAAGCCATATTTTGTAACATACAATACTAATCAAATGTTTGGGGTCAGTACGATTTTTTAAAGAAGAAGAAAATAAAAATTCATCCGGAATCCTGAAAAAAGTGCATCACGTTTCCACAAAAAAATATTAAGCAGCATTTTTTGGCCCTAATACTCTTATTTTGATGTTTATTTAATTTAATCGTCTCTGGTTTCTCATTTCCTAGACCTGTCTCTGCATGCTAGACCTGCTCCCTCGATTGTCCATGCTAGTATGCTTAGGTGTTTTGTTGTGGTTTTGTTTTCAATTGTTAAAGACTGCTTTTTCAATTACTCTTCCTCTGCCTGCACGTGACTAGCCTGGCTCCGCCCTCCCACGTACTTCCGCTCAATTTTCATTTTCCATCAGTACTACATCTGGGCTTGTGGTGTATTCTTTGGTTTTCTCCGGTCAATTTTTTACCGGTCCAATCAGCGAACAGAGGGAGTGTCTGAGAACGATGACGTTGATGTCAAGCGCTAGTTTGAGTCGTCATACTCCACCATTAGTTATGGCAGATCCAGAGTGGCTCTGGGCAGATCCAATAGTTTTAGACTTCAACAGAAGACCCGCCTACAAGGAAGTTAACGCTTGTCAATGGAGCGAGGCCAGACTCTCTGTACAAATGAAATGTAGTCTGGTGGGACCAGGCTAGCACGTGACAGACTAACCAACCAAAATGAATCTAACAGCAGTGAAAATCCTTCTCCTCATCCAAGGGGATCATTGTGTCATTTTTTTTAGATCTGGCGCTTGTCGCTCACAATGATTTACTCTCTGTGTATTTTCTTGCTGGCCTCTGATCCTGCCTGAGGATGGCTCATCGATACCTCAGCTCCACCATGGTCTGTCTTCCCTCTGGCTCCACCACGCTCTCTCGTCTCTCCGACTCCGCCTTGGTCTGTCTTCTCTCTGGCTCCACCACGCTCTCTCATCTCTCCGACTCCACCTTGGTCCGTCTTCCCTCTGGCTCCACCACGCTCTCTCATCTCTCCGACTCCACCTTGGTCTGTCTTCTCTCTGGCTTCACCACGCTCTCTCATCTCTCCGACTCCACCATGGTCTGTCTTCCCTCTGGCTCCACCACGCTCTCTCGTCTCTCCGACTCCGCCTTGGTCTGTCTTCTCTCTGGCTCCACCACGCTCTCTCATCTCTCCGACTCCACCTTGGTCCGTCTTCCCTCTGGCTCCACCACGCTCTCTCATCTCTCCGACTCCACCTTGGTCCGTCTTCCCTCTGGCTCCACCACGCTCTCTCATCTCTCCAACTCCACCTTGGTCTGTCTTCCCTCTGGCTCCACCACGCTCTCTCGTCTCTCCGACTCCGCCTTGGTCTGTCTTCTCTCTGGCTCCACCACGCTCTCTCATCTCTCCGACTCCACCTTGGTCCGTCTTCCCTCTGGCTCCACCACGCTCTCTCATCTCTCCGACTCCACCTTGGTCTGTCTTCTCTCTGGCTCCACCACACTCTCTCATCTCTCCGACTCCGCCTTGGTCTGTCTTCTCTCTGGCTCCACCACGCTCTCTCATCTCTCCGACTCCACCTTGGTCCGTCTTCCCTCTGGCTCCACCACGATCTCTCATCTCTCTGACTCCACCTTGGTCCGTCTTCCCTCTGGCTCCACCACGCTCTCTCATCTCTCCGACTCCGCCTTGGTCTGTCTTCCCTCTGGCTCCACCACGATCTCTCATCTCTCTGACTCCACCTTGGTCCGTCTTCCCTCTGGCTCCACCACGCTCTCTCATCTCTCTGACTCCGCCTTGGTCCGTCTTCCCTCTGGCTCCACCACGCTCTCTCATCTCCACCGACTCCACCTTGGTTTGTCTTCTCTCTGGCTCCACCACGCTCTCTCATCTCTCCGACTCCGCCTTGTTCTGTCTTCTCTCTGGCTCCACCACGCTCTCTCATCTCTCTGACTCCGCCTTGGTCTGTCTTCCCTCTGGCTCCACCACGATCTCTCATCTCTCTGACTCCACCTTGGTCCGTCTTCCCTCTGGCTCCACCACGCTCTCTCATCTCTCCGACTCCACCTTGGTCTGTCTTCTCTCTGCTCCACCACGCTCTCTCATCTCTCCGACTCCGCCTTGTTCTGTCTTCTCTCTGGCTCCACCACGCTCTCTCATCTCTCCGACTCCGCCTTGGTCTGTCTTCTCTCTGGCTCCACCACGCTCTCTCATCTCTCCGACTCCGCCTTGGTCTGTCTTCTCTCTGGCTCCACCACGCTCTCTCATCTCTCTGACTCCACCTTGGTCTGTCTTCCCTCTGGCTCCACCACGCTCTCTCATCTCTCTGACTCCACCTTGGTCCGTCTTCCCTCTGGCTCCACCACGCTCTCTCATCTCTCCGACTCCGCCTTGGTCTGTCTTCTCTCTGGCTCCACCACGCTCTCTCATCTCTCCGACTCCGCCTTGGTCCGTCTTCCCTCTGGCTCCACCACGCTCTCTCATCTCTCCGACTCCGCCTTGGTCTGTCTTCTCTCTGGCTCCACCACGCTCTCTCATCTCTCCGACTCCACCTTGGTCTGTCTTCTCTCTGGCTCCACCACGTTCTCTCATCTCTCCGACTCCACCTTGGTCTGTCTTCTCTCTGCTCCACCACGCTCTCTCATCTCTCCGACTCCGCCTTGTTCTGTCTTCTCTCTGGCTCCACCACGCTCTCTCATCTCTCCGACTCCGCCTTGGTCTGTCTTCTCTCTGGCTCCACCACGCTCTCTCATCTCTCTGACTCCACCTTGGTCTGTCTTCCCTCTGGCTCCACCACGCTCTCTCATCTCTCTGACTCCACCTTGGTCCGTCTTCCCTCTGGCTCCACCACGCTCTCTCATCTCTCCGACTCCGCCTTGGTCTGTCTTCTCTCTGGCTCCACCACGCTCTCTCATCTCTCCGACTCCGCCTTGGTCTGTCTTCTCTCTGGCTCCACCACGATCTCTCATCTCTCTGACTCCGCCTTGGTCCGTCTTCCCTCTGGCTCCACCACGCTCTCTCATCTCTCCGACTCCGCCTTGGTCTGTCTTCCCTCTGGCTCCACCACGATCTCTCATCTCTCTGACTCCACCTTGGTCCGTCTTCCCTCTGGCTCCACCACGCTCTCTCATCTCTCTGACTCCGCCTTGGTCCGTCTTCCCTCTGGCTCCACCACGCTCTCTCATCTCTCCGACTCCGCCTTGGTCTGTCTTCTCTCTGGCTCCACCACGCTCTCTCATCTCTCCGACTCCGCCTTGGTCCGTCTTCCCTCTGGCTCCACCACGCTCTCTCATCTCTCCGACTCCGCCTTGGTCTGTCTTCTCTCTGGCTCCACCACGCTCTCTCATCTCTCCGACTCCACCTTGGTCTGTCTTCTCTCTGGCTCCACCACGTTCTCTCATCTCTCCGACTCCACCTTGGTCTGTCTTCTCTCTGCTCCACCACGCTCTCTCATCTCTCCGACTCCGCCTTGTTCTGTCTTCTCTCTGGCTCCACCACGCTCTCTCATCTCTCCGACTCCGCCTTGGTCTGTCTTCTCTCTGGCTCCACCACGCTCTCTCATCTCTCCGACTCCGCCTTGGTCTGTCTTCTCTCTGGCTCCACCACGCTCTCTCATCTCTCTGACTCCACCTTGGTCTGTCTTCCCTCTGGCTCCACCACGCTCTCTCATCTCTCTGACTCCACCTTGGTCCGTCTTCCCTCTGGCTCCACCACGCTCTCTCATCTCTCTGACTCCGCCTTGGTCCGTCTTCCCTCTGGCTCCACCACGCTCTCTCATCTCCACCGACTCCACCTTGGTCTGTCTTCTCTCTGGCTCCACCACGCTCTCTCATCTCTCCGACTCCGCCTTGTTCTGTCTTCTCTCTGGCTCCACCACGCTCTCTCATCTCTCTGACTCCGCCTTGGTCTGTCTTCCCTCTGGCTCCACCACGATCTCTCATCTCTCTGACTCCACCTTGGTCCGTCTTCCCTCTGGCTCCACCACGCTCTCTCATCTCTCCGACTCCACCTTGGTCTGTCTTCTCTCTGCTCCACCACGCTCTCTCATCTCTCCGACTCCGCCTTGTTCTGTCTTCTCTCTGGCTCCACCACGCTCTCTCATCTCTCCGACTCCGCCTTGGTCTGTCTTCTCTCTGGCTCCACCACGCTCTCTCATCTCTCCGACTCCGCCTTGGTCTGTCTTCTCTCTGGCTCCACCACGCTCTCTCATCTCTCTGACTCCACCTTGGTCTGTCTTCCCTCTGGCTCCACCACGCTCTCTCATCTCTCTGACTCCACCTTGGTCCGTCTTCCCTCTGGCTCCACCACGCTCTCTCATCTCTCCGACTCCGCCTTGGTCTGTCTTCTCTCTGGCTCCACCACGCTCTCTCATCTCTCCGACTCCGCCTTGGTCCGTCTTCCCTCTGGCTCCACCACGCTCTCTCATCTCTCCGACTCCGCCTTGGTCTGTCTTCTCTCTGGCTCCACCACGCTCTCTCATCTCTCCGACTCCACCTTGGTCTGTCTTCTCTCTGGCTCCACCACGTTCTCTCATCTCTCCGACTCCACCTTGGTCTGTCTTCTCTCTGCTCCACCACTCTCTCTCATCTCTCCGACTCCGCCTTGTTCTGTCTTCTCTCTGGCTCCACCACGCTCTCTCATCTCTCCGACTCCGCCTTGGTCTGTCTTCTCTCTGGCTCCACCACGCTCTCTCATCTCTCCGACTCCGCCTTGGTCTGTCTTCTCTCTGGCTCCACCACGCTCTCTCATCTCTCTGACTCCACCTTGGTCTGTCTTCCCTCTGGCTCCACCACGCTCTCTCATCTCTCTGACTCCACCTTGGTCCGTCTTCCCTCTGGCTCCACCACGCTCTCTCATCTCTCCGACTCCGCCTTGGTCTGTCTTCTCTCTGGCTCCACCACGCTCTCTCATCTCTCCGACTCCGCCTTGGTCTGTCTTCTCTCTGGCTCCACCACGATCTCTCATCTCTCTGACTCCGCCTTGGTCCGTCTTCCCTCTGGCTCCACCACGCTCTCTCATCTCTCCGACTCCGCCTTGGTCTGTCTTCCCTCTGGCTCCACCACGATCTCTCATCTCTCTGACTCCACCTTGGTCCGTCTTCCCTCTGGCTCCACCACGCTCTCTCGTCTCTCTGACTCCGCCTTGGTCCGTCTTCCCTCTGGCTCCACCACGCTCTCTCATCTCTCCGACTCCGCCTTGGTCTGTCTTCTCTCTGGCTCCACCACGCTCTCTCATCTCTCTGACTCCGCCTTGGTCTCTCTTCTTTCTGGCTCCACTGTGGTCTTTTGGGCTTTAACTGAGCTTGGGCCCTCCACCCCTTCGACTCAACCAGGTTCCTCAATCCCTTCAGCTCCACCTCGGTCTTCCAAACACCAGCTCCAACTCTCCGGCTCTGCTTTGGTCCTCTGAGTTTACGACGTCACCCTGGTTCTCTATGTTCCTCTGGCCAATGGTCATGGTCAATGGTTCCTCAAGTTTGATTTCTTAATTTGTCGCTTATTGTCTATGCTAGTATGCTTAGCTGTTCCATTGTGGTGTTTTTCCAATGTTCCTGAGTTCCAGAGTGTTTTGTTTTTTAATAATTAAAGACCACTTTTTCAGTTAGATCCTCAATTCTTCCCTGCCTGCACATAACAGGTATTGTATGTATTTCTGTATTTGTTTTTACCCTTATGTTGTATATAATGCTGTATAATGATTAAAAATAAGATTGTTTTTGCAAAATCACACTCTTCACTTTTTAAACCATGTCACAATTCCTTATACCAGGGGTGTCCGAACCTGCTCCTAGAGGGCCACTATCCTGGGGTGCGTTTCCCGACAGCATCGTTAGCCAACTATGGTCGCAAGTTCCGTCGTTATCAGCATAGTTCAACAAGTCGGTGTTTCCCGAAACGAACATTCGCAAACAGCATCGCAGAGTTGTGTGGTTGGAGCGACAGATCTCGACCTGTGGTAAGAAGCAGAGTTTCTAGATTGCATGACATGTGGACTTAATAAATCCTTATCTTGAGCAAAATAAGCAAGCTGACATTCAGTACAACTGTGTCTTTTATTTAGAATACATACAAATGTCATTTACGTCTTTGAGTTTGTCAAGAGATTTAAAGCACCGTTTTTGAAGACTGCGCATGTGCGAATGTGCTTTACTAAGAACGAGCCTATGATTAAATCTGGAAATGTGTTTAAAGTTATTACTCCACCACGTGAGTGATGTCATAAACGAACTTGTTTGAACGACCACTTTGCGACAATATGGCTTTGGGAAACAGTCGTGACTAGCTAGTTGATTTCTTCAACGATGCATCTTACTATGATAGTGAAGCATCGAGTTTCGTCGTTGTAACGCACCCCTGCATAGTTTATAACCTGTGTTCACGCCATATCGTATTTACTGTAATTACAAGATGACGACCCGGGATGTTAACGTCTTCAGACTCTGAATTATGCGCTTTAATGACAACACTATTATAATGTATCACTGTATGATTTGAATAATAAAGAGACAAAATCACAATACAACAAGTATGCACATGCCTTATCACTACATTAAACTGTATTGTATGTCTTTAATTTTTATTCAGATTTTTCTTGCATTAAGACATTACAATAGTCAATCAGATATAAGTTCTTAACTATATTTCACTTCTCAAGGCGCTGACATTTTGAGTGTTTCTTGCAGCGGTCAAGTCAAAGCTCTTTTAGAAAATTCCCGAATTCTCACGTAATTCCGACATGGCGTGAACACACCCTTAAGCTCAAATCTTAATTAAATACAACTGAACCAGCTAAATCAACGTCTTCATGATTACTAGCAGAAGCTTCCAGAGCAGCTGGAGCAGGTTGGAGCTGAACTCTGCAGGACATTGGCCCCCCAGGAACAGTGTATTATTTAGTTGGCAAAGCCTATTTTTATTTGTCACATGCTGAGTGTACACTTTGTAGCCCTGCATGAGAAATTGGAGCAAATGTGTTGAGTTTGATACCTCAAGCTTCAAGGAAGAACTTTTGTCCTCCAGCAAAGTTACTGTTGGTCTGGATTTGTCGGTACGCATTCACTGTGATGAAACTCTGGGTTACTTGAAGTGTATTTAGTAAGACAGGGCTGTTCGCTTTGGGAAGCAAAACAAGGCTTCAAGTGTTCTGCTGTTAGCTTGAATTCACATGGTGGACATTCTCTGAGCTTCTCCCACTTCCACTGAGTTTGCACATAAAAGAGAACACGATAGATCTCAAATGTAAAGCTTTTCTGCATTTCCTCATCGTTTTTTAAGAGGCATAAATCTGCTAATTAGGTTGGCCTTAATTACGCTAACAGCACCATGTCAAGGGCTCCTGTCTCCGATTCCCTTTGATAGCCAGTCACTTAATACAGTGGCACCTAACTGACTTTGGAAGCACTTAAATGCCCTGTTGTAAGGATGCACTAGAGTAGATTGCATTTCAATCACAGAGAAGACATGTTAAGTTATTCATCAGCATTACAGCGAATCGCTCCGCACAAAGTAGGCTGCAATTGTTTCAAAGTACTGTGACTGATTCCAAAAGGGTTCATTCAGCTGAGGTCAATTACATAAAGACTGAATCATTGTTCGGAGGCGAAAACCTTTATGTGGTGGCTGGGCTCTAATGTGCATGAATAAATATGTATGCTCATGATTAGATGCTTTCATTTACATGATTGCAGCCAGTGCCTGCATCTAATACTGTACGTGCCAGATATAACACAAATGTGTTTCTGAGACACACTGTAACGTTCACTGTACATTAGTGTACGAAATAATTGTATGCAATTGTGATATCATGAATGTATTTTATTTTAATCCTTTTTTTTTTAGGATTTAAAAAGGTTTTTTTTTTTTTTTAAATGGCTATGTTTGCTTGTTTTCGCCCCAGAATAAAAAATGTAAAAGATAATTGCGACTTTTTATCTCACTATTCTGACATTTTATCTCAGAATTGCGTGATATGAAGTCGCGATTGCGAGTTATAAAGTCAGAATTGCGTGATATAAACTTGCAATTGTGAGAAATAAACCAGCAATTCTGACTTTTTCTCAGAATTGCGTGTTTACATCTCGCAATCCTGACTTTATAACTCGCAATTGTGTTATAAAGTCAGAATTGCGTGATATAAAGTCGCAATTGTGTTATAAACTCAGAATTGCGTGATATAAAGTCGCAATTGTGTTATAAAAATCAGAATGGCATTGTATAAACTCGCAAGATCACAAAAAGTCACAATTATCTTTTAAAATGTTTTATTCTGTGGCGGAAACAAGCTTCCATAAATGACTGCATATTAAAATGGAATATAGGAAAAAAATGACACTTCATCATTAATTGCAAAAAGAACGATTACGAATACAATGAAGGTTTGTAGAAGAATACCACGTTTATTATCTAACATCGTCTCAAATACTGCATTGCAAAACCATTTCCTCAGAACAGAGAGAGGCAATGAAGACATCCTCTGTCGTAAATGCCAAAACAATAGGAGAGCGGCAGAGAGAAGAGAAACAGACTTCAGAAGCAATGATGCAGAAGTCTTTGAAAGACAAACAGTGGCCTCTGTAAATCACCCCAGAGAAACAGTCTGCTTGACCCCGACATCAATCCACCACTTGTGAATGGCAAATGACCACCTCAGTAACACAAGCAGGTCTAGGAAAGATAACACTGGTCTGGAGACCCAAACAAAAACAAAAGGGTTATGTTATCGCCCTCTCATATCACGACAGCTTTGTGTGACTTACTGAGGGTGTCCCTAATTTATTCAGCAGTTGCCATCCATGAGAGACGAGCAGCCAGAAAAACATGAAGAGAGACCGAAATTTGCACATTTCCCTTATTTGAACCCTCAACCATCTGAGAGAGACATTGTTGTTGTTTTGGTGGCATACTTGACAGTATAACGCTCATTTTATTTAGAAAAAATGGCAATACCAATACTGATGTACTTTATTGTGTAAAATATTGATCTGTATAAATAATTGATAAAATATTCCAATTGAATAAGGTGGAACACCAGTAAAATAAAAATAGTGCAAAATACAAAGAACAAACAAACAAGCATTGTCATTATGGCTGTATGGCTGAATGATTGCATGCAGACATCACCGCAAGTCACAGAATCTTTATCTTCAGCAATATGACTTCTTTAGAGTAACAATAAGGTCAGATTGAATTTCTGGCTTCTCTCTGAACAGAAAGCTGGTCCACAGCAGCATGTAAACAGCCTTTCTTTCGATCTGTGGTTGACCCTGAGGTCAAACAGTAGTGACCCGACGGACTGTCTTCTTTGCTCCATTGCAGTCCAAGTTAGAAACATCTTCCTCGTTCTGACTTCGAGAGCTGAACATGACAATATCAGGAACCTGTTGAGAAACAATATTAGGAGAATGAACCTTTTTTTACTGACTAATGCAAAATACATTTTTTTAATAAAACTTGAAATTTACTTTGAAATGCTTGTTTTACACTGGAATATCAGCTCATTCATAAGTTCCCATTCATAAGAAGTTTTTATGTTAACACTTCATTGTGATGACATTCTGTTGACTTTGAGTAACTTTGCAACTACATGTCAACTAACTCTCATTAGAGTATCTCAGGAGACTCACTGTCTGCTTAATATCTGCCAACTCTTTATTGTGATGCTCCTTCAACAGACACTCTAATGACTCTAAGTAACTTTGCAACTGCATGTCAACTTATTCTACTAACCCTACCTGTCTCTACTACAGTCTACTAATACCCTAATTAATGAGAGTTAGTTGACATGTACAGTAGATGCAACGGTACTTATAATCAACAGAATGTGTTAAAGTGACCATCAAAATAAAAGTGAAACCGTTTTTATAAATCTAATTCTACCAAAATGTTGCATTTATTGAAATGTATCATTCCGAGATTGTGGCCCTCCAATGTCTATTATTGTCATGGCTTTGGTAGTTTCAGCCTGAGGTGAGAAAATATGATTTCTTTAAAGTTCAAAAGTAACCATTTAAAAAAAAAAATGCTTAAAAATTAAAAGGTTGTTTCTTGAAAATGACCCAGCATCCAACTAGCGTTAATCAGAAATATTTGCATTATGAATTAGGCCTATTTAAAGTCCCCGCTGTCAAACATTTTATCTCTCATCACTGATCACCAAAATGCGACATTTAGACATTTTTCCTTGAAATAAGTGTATGGCTACAAATACAAATACGTTTAGCTAACTACTGTAGGTGGTTAAAGTCCTCCTGTAGTCAATAATTTTATTCCTTAAAACTCATCTTTAATCACCAAAATTACATATTTAAATGTTTTTTCCTTGAAAATAAAATTCTTCATGCCTAAAATATCTTGAATGTAACTGTACACCATTGCCTCATTTAGTATACGCGGTTCTATGAATATGCAAATGAGCCCCGCCTCCACTCACTCACAGCGGCTCAGAGATCCACTTGTTGGCGATCACACTTTGATCTGATTGGTTACAAGGTAGTTTGTGACGTCAGAAACACCAGCGATTTCAAACCGTGTTTTTGAGACTGTCTTTGGTTCACTGCAGTTTTAAAGGTTGTATCAGTGATTTCAGGCCCAAAAAAGGCCCAAACATAAATGATCACATTCATCTAATCTTTCCTAACGATCCGCTAGCTGCCCGCCCCATAAGCAGGCCTTCAAAAAATGCGTCTCTGTAGGCAGCCTAGGCTCTGAGATTTGCACACAAAAACAATTGGGTTCACCAACCACTCAAAACCAAAATAAATAGTGTTCCAACCAATCACTGACAGGGGGCGGGTGTTGTGAGGTTTTGCGCTCGTGCACGGCTGAACGCGAAGTCGGAGCTGCTCCACGGTACGATAACAGAAAGCAAAAGTTATTTTCAAAAATAAAAAAGTATTATATAAAGCATTTACACAGTATTTAAATGTTTGTCTGAATATTCCTTCACGCAGTAATAGAGAGAGCAGCGTTTTCCCCAGGTGTGAGGCAGAAGACTTTACACCGAGGTGTCAGAAAACCCACTCGTTTTGAATAATGCAGAGGCTGTAATTCCCTCTCCTCTTACCCGTGACGGGCTGATGATGTTTATCGGGCTGTCAGCTCTATTCCTGGGGTCACTGTGTCCTGAACCTGCGGGGTGAAGACCAGTTGTGTGTGGGACTTTACTGCATAAAATCTCACAGACACAACTTACACTGCTCAATGTGCTCTTACTGCTGGACAGAAATACATATTAAACATGCTTGTTTTGTTATCCAGTAAAATAACTAAAGCAGTGTATATTTACATTTTAAGATAGTAAGACTTGTTCGATGATCTTTATAAGAAATCTTTGAACAAAAAGATATCTCTTTAAGAAAATGTAAAAATGAAGTGTATTTTTTCCCCTGGTAGATTGTTTTACATTTGTTTTAAGTTTGCTGTGAGGGATAGACATGCATCTCTTCAGTGGGTTGTACTGTTATTTAATGTGTTTTTGGATTGTTCTGCTGACGAAACACTGCAAAAATATCTTTCCGAGAAATTTCAGTAGACAAAAACCCCAGACAATATGAGCTGTGGAAAATGATAAGAGATCTAGGAGCTTTATACAGCTCTTTACAGAGGATGCCATTGAAAGGACGGTCTATTCCTCACAGCCTCGCTTTCATACCTGTCATGGCGCTGCTCTGAATAAGATCTATTATACTATTTTAAAGGTTCCTAATTTTCTCTCATCCAAGGTCACTTTCATTTTCCCATTTCAAAATATATTGCAGCATCACCTCTTTTCTCACAGTGTCTGAAATGGTTTGAACAAGGATTCGGTCTCTCTAAAAATCCTCCTTTCTGAGAGCCTACTCTGCTCTGATTGGTCTGATGGCCCAGTCTGTTGTGATTGGTCTACTCTGCTCTGATTGGTCAGATGGCCCAGTCTGTTGTGATTGGTCTACTCTGCTCTGATTGGTCAGATGGCCCAGTCTGTTGTGATTGGTCTACTCTGCTCTGATTGGTCAGATGGCCCAGTTTGTTGTGTTTGGTCTACTCTGCTCTGATTTGTCAGATGGCCCACTCTGTTGTGATTGGTCTGATGGCCCAGTCTGTTGTGATTGGTCTACTCTGCTCTGATTGGTCAGATGGCCCACTCTGTTGTGATTGGTCTACTCTGCTCTGATTGGTCAGATGGCCCACTCTGTTGTGATTGGTCTACTCTGCTCTGATTGGTCAGATGGCCCAGTCTGTTGTGATTGGTCTGGCATCAGTTTTACCCTATCAATTCGAGCCCGATTACTCATCCTTTGGAAGTGTGTGCAAAGTGGAAACCTGTGTCTTCTAATAACTCCATTTATCGCACACTTTGATCGTTGAAACTTTGAAGAAACTTTTACTCCCACAAACAGCTATTTAACCCTCTGGGGTCTGAGGTGTTTTTGGGGCCATTTGGATGTTCTGTGATGCCCTTACATTTGTGCTTTTTTCAGTTATTTATAAACATGTTAATGGCAAAGGTGTAAATTCACTCTATATAGCACAAACAGGGCTACCATAATCTGTGAGCAACTTGTATGTACATTGTTTGTATTTTTAAGAGAATATTGTTTATGCGTGGTTATTGAAAAAAATTAAAATGAAAGCTGCTGAAATAAGACCACAAAACAAATACTAAATATGTGTCCACAAGACTTTTGACAAATGGATGTTGACGCTTCGAGTTCTGGCTTCAAAATGATCTGAAAATCATCCTTCCTAATCATTCACATAAACCAATAGATTGTTTTAAATTGTGAAAAACATTTTTTTGTTTGCCAAGGCAATATGCAGATGGGCGGAACGGCCCAACCCCTATCATGAATATTAAGTGGTTCTCAGACAGTGACCCTACATAATAATGAGCCTTTCATTCAGGGGTGTCACACAAGAAATAATGCAAGGACAATATATATATATATATATATATATTGTCATTGCATTCTTTCTTGTATATATATAGCCTAAATATATATATATATATATATATATATATACACACACACACACACACATATATATATATATATATATATATATATATATATATATATATATATATATACAAACAATCAAAATATAAATGAAAGCCAAAAGCACATTTTTAGTCATACCTGGAAACAAATTCTAGTCAAATGCTATATGGGCCATTCTACAGAATCTTGAAAAGAAAATAGTCTTTTTCCATAAATGTCTTATAAAGTATTATTTTTTAAAGTAGACCAATACAATAAAAATAAACCAGTCGCATTTCAAAGTCGTTCGCGAAATGACCGCCAGGTGGCGCAAAGGGACATTTATCAAAACGTAAGTGGGGCTAATGTCAATTAACAGTAAGGATGAAATTCTACAAGTTATGGTAATTTGCAAATAAGCCTACAACAAACATTTATTTTTAAACAAATATTTTTAAATATGCAACATGCACGTTTAAACAACAAACAATACAATCTGAACCAGCGCTTCTGCTCCTGTATTGAGACATGCAGCGCGTTGCAGTTACGATCCGGGTTCCAGTGGCCTTAATACATTCACGGCTTTTTAAAATGTCACAAAGCGTTTTGAGATGGTTTTGAATGAAATATTGAAGTTTATAATTAGGGTATTTTGGCACACCACGCCGAGTGGCTATGCATTATTCTAAAATCTGGCTTTATTCTGGCATGTTGAATTAGAGTTTGACAAACGCGGCGGCGCGTTCATTTGAATTTATTTTTCTCATAACAGCTAAAAGAACTTACTGCGTAATTGTTGGTCATACAGATAAGATATCATCTTTTAAAACTGTAAAAGGTCTACTTTTATTCATGTAGGCTAAAGTAGGCCTACACTCACAGGCTAACGACAAAACGTTTTCTCGCTCATGACAAACAAACGTTTGGGCATTTCTCAGTGAGAAAATTCATAGCCGAGTGGTAGAACTTACGGTTCGATCATCAAGATGACACGGGTTCAAATCCCGAACAAACATGGTCTATTGTAAATTTTATATTTATTAATGCAGAGAGATTTGTGTAGCTCTAAAACTCTGGTACACCATACAGTTTTTTGCTTATATTTATAAAATAAAATTACCATGCATTTCCATTTTACACTAAGGAACAATAGTATCCAACAGAACGACTTTGCATCTGTACCAATCGTATGAGGCCAATCGTAATTTCAAAAGCAGTTCTGTAAAAAAAGTAATTTTATATATATAGCCAATATATATATATATATATTTTATTAGGCCTATTATTATTATTTTTTTGATTCCCTACAACCTAGAGTTTTTAAAAACATGGTTTTAAGTAAAGTGTGATTTGCCAGGGGGACGGGGATTTCCTTCTGGTCTAAACATCCCTGCTTCTGCTGAATTATTTGAATCCCCACACCCCTCCCTCCACAGTAATCAATGCTATAGGCTACTTCACCAATAGACCATATCAAATATAAAATAGAGATATGCAACAGAACAAGCACGTTTAAACAACGATAAACAATAAAATCAAAACCAGCGTTTCAGTTGTCCATAGTTCAAGTGGCCTTAATGCATGCACGGCTTTTCAAAATTTCACAAAGCGTTTTGAGATTATTTTGAATGAAATATTGAAGTTTATAATTAAGTGTTTTGGCAGACCACGCCGAGTGGCCCTATGCATTTTTCTAAAATCGGGTTTTATTCGAACTTTTGCTAACGACAAAAGTTTATCTGTCGTCTCTGTCTCCGGGAACTGCGCGTCACAAAAATGAACCGAAAGCCACTTCAGCTCAGTCACTATAAGAAATCGGCTCTGTCTAATGCCTTTAAATGTCTAAATATTCAGGCTAATAAATGTTATCTGATTATGTAATCCATATGAAAACGAGAGGTACAGAGGATCTACTCAAACATGTAGCCTATGTAAGCGCTTCCCAATGAGAAAATGACAAGGGTGAAAATCTCGCTCTAATGAAATGTAGCAGGCTAAATCGCCCTGAATTAAAATGTAAAAACAGATCAAATAATGTATTTGTCGAAATGTTGCGATATTGTTTCATTTAAGTTCATAATTATTCTATAGGCCTACATGTTATTTAATTTAGCAGCATTACCACGAAGCACCGTGGTTCGATATTTATTTGAATAATAAAAAAAATAATAAAAACTTAATTCACAAATTGCATGCCTGGTTGAAAGGATCCAAAGATCCCTGTAGAATTTAATATTAAGTTGAACATTTTGTTCATGACAACAAATGAACATGCGTTTTTTCAGATTATATTTAGTTTTGCTTGGAAAAAGCTGGCCCAAACCAGTTTTATTTCATCAATTATTGAAATAATGAAATATTTAGTAATAAACTTTTATGACAGAAAATTCACTAGGCTACATGTAACTTAAATCATTTAATTCCTTCATTATCAACACTGTCTAGAATAGCGATTTAAGTGTGAATTACGACTTCTCTTTGTGTTAAATCAGCCTCAGACTCCGATAGCCTGTGGGGGGTTGGGGGACAGTTCAGTGCTGTGCGCGCAGGACAATAGGCCTAGGTGTTAATGTTCCTCTTTCATATGGAGAGCGAGGGAGACTAAATAAACTTGTTAAAAAGAGATTCAGCGCGAGAGAGGCAAAGAAAAACGCATGTTTTAATTTAATTATGTTGCTTTGGACAATTTTCGTTTTGTAGGCCTACTGTTTTAATTGTTTAATGTCATTTATTTGGCAATACAAATTTAAAATGTCGCAAGAATAATATTAGCCTAGTGTTTCTTATTTTGCATCGCAAAAGAAATAAACTCTAAACCCGATGCAACCCTGTTTTAAATAAAAAAAAACACTTTATTTAAACCTTGAAATGTTCGAACTTGGTTTCAAACTTAAGTAATTTTAGTGTTCTTTTACATTACACAATAATTTAGCAGACTAAAGACGAGCTTCTTCATTTTCATTTTCTGATGCAATCGGCTGACAATCTTCCTTCATCAGTTTGTGTCCTTTGTGCAGCGGCTGCGGTTCTACTGGAATGTAGCAAATTTATGTTGTAATGATAATTAAACAAAACTCTTGACTTTAAATAAGTAAACAGTTATAAACAGTTAGCTATTTAAGCATCAAGAAGGTAAAATATAAACGCTGTTGGCCAACATCGGTTAACAACATGTATGCCACATTGAGATTCGATCTCGGGTCGATTGAAGCTCCCTGAAGCTCGTGTTGATGCGTTGATCACTGAGCCACCGTTTGTACGCTGTTAGAGTTAAAGTCTTATGCTTTTGTAAAGCTTCATTGATGTAGCCTAAATGTTTTTATTGCAATGTTTTATGTTTTCATTATTTATTCAATTTCATTTCAGTATTTCAGCCTAATTTCAGTATTGTGGTAATGAATTATTTTAACTACGTTTCACTTGTTGAATTCATCTGCTACCAGCTTTCAATCGCTCTGAATGAGCAGCAGATTACGCATTAGAGAGAATAAACGAACACTTTTCAGAGTCTATGATTGTAGCGCCTCTTAGCGGTAAAAGGTAGCAAATACACCCCACATTTTACCGCCGCGGTGGAACGGCTGATGTGGGCGTTGTCATGGCTTTCCTCTACATTTGCGTTTGAATAGCGCGCGTTCTCCGTGGGCGTGTCAGATTAACGCGTAATGAAGTGTAATGAGCTGGGGAAAAAAATTCTGACAGCACTCTCTTTTCATACAGATTACATAAACTGAGAATATTTGTTTTTTATATAAATTACTTCATTGAAAAGAAGAGAATTCAAGCTTCATAAAGAAAAATCTCTCGTGCCTGTGTGACAAGTATTTGCAGAGTTAGAGTTAATTTTTCGGACGCGTTTCAGAATGGACTGCACTGACAGAGAGAAGGCAAAACTCGCATCATGTTTATTTTTCTTCATTTGACAAAAAGCACAACACTTTGTTTTTATTGTGAGTATACAGAAAAATAATATACACTAAACAGGATCGACTGATGTATAACACTTACATGTAAGATTAAAATCAACAGAGTATTTTGAGTCTCTTTTGCACTGATAAGAAAAAAAGTCTGCCTATCGCGCCGGCGCGATAGCCGACCCCAGGGGGTTAACACACCACATAAAAAGGTAATATCCGAAAAAGAGTAAGAGGGGCACTTAAACTATAATAAGCCTGAATCACTAGAACCATTTTACCTATTCCTACAAAACAGATATATTTACACAGTAAGCAAAATTGCACAAAATATTGGTAATGTTTTAACACTAAGTGCAAAAAGCCATTATTGAAACAAAGGCCTTTTTCACTTTTTTTGTTAGTGTATATTTGATATCCTATAAATTGTGTTTCTTTTTAGTTTAATTCAGTGAAAATATATTAAATAAAGCAGGAATTACACCCCATATAATTTTGTTTAACACATCAGGGTATTCTGTTGATTCTGTATTTTGGTGCTATTACTTGTTACGTCTTCAGCGTTGTATCCTGGGTTCACTTTTCCTCTGGTTTCATCAGCAACGGACCTCCTCTCACTGCTTAAATTGACAGTCCATGAAGAGGAGCTGGAAAGAAAAATGCAATACAATAAACAGTTGTTCTTACATACAACACAAGAGTCAGTGGCTATGTTCAGAATGAAACGCCAGAGTAGAGGTCTTCAGGGAACTAGAACCAGAAGAACTGATGAGAACTGACCTGAGCTGAACTCACTTCATATTTGATGATCTTTAAATTGAACTGAATTGAATCAACACTGAACTGACCTCAGCTGAACAATGGCTCTACTTCGCGGTTATTCGTGTTTATCACCGGAAAGCTGTTTGTATCTGTATTGTATAAAGCACTGTATAAATGAAGGTGATGACTTGATATGACAAGAAATATGTATGCAATAGTATGCAATACTGAGCAAAATCAGTTTCTCTCTGCATAGCAGTGTCTGGAATTTATGGAAAACGCTGTATTTCTCTTCAATATTTCGATTTGTTTCAAGGCTGTTGTTTTAATGGCTTTAAAATGTGTAATAGTGCTGCTGTGATAAGTCAATCACATGTTTTTTTTCACGTATGTGTGTGCAATGAATGTCAAAAATGAGCATCAAGCTATCTCTACAGCATATATAGTGATATGATCATGAAACATTACTGTTTTAGTGTTAGCATTTTAAAACTGGGAAAAGTATATGTTCAAAAAGATTAAGACTTCCGTCACTTATTGATAATTTTCCTTCTTATGTACAGTATGTTATGTGTACAGCATTGGTGCAGAAGAGAAAATACTCAAAATGTAATGTACAAAAACAACTCTTACCTCTCTTACAAGTCTTACCTGAATTTATTTTCAGAGCTCAATTCTGTAAAATAAGAAAAAGAAAACTGGTCACACTTTAACTCCTAATTATGCTTATTAATAGTTAGTAAGGTAGTTGTTAAGTTTAGGTATTGGGAAGGATTAAGGGATGTAGAATATGGTCACGCAAAATAAGGAATATGTGCTTTTTAAGTACTAATAAAAAGCCAAAATCCTAGTAATATGCATGCTAATAAGCAACTAGCTATTAGTGAGAGTTGGACCCTGAACTAAAGTGTTAGCAGAATAACATATTTCTGGTTCTAGCCTCGGGCAGTCCTGGTAGCAAGCCTGAATAGCATGACATCTTAATAGTTGCATGGTGCAACAAGAGGATAAGAGACTGTAACAAATTTGAGATCCACTGTCCACCGTATACTACAATAACAAATATATAAAACAAAAATGTATGGCAACAAGTAAAAAATAAATGGGATTTTACAGGTCAAAATATGGTTTAGACTTAAACTCATCTGAAATATCATGCTATATAGTCTTAGGGGCTGTTTACACGACACCGTTTTCAACTAAAAACATAATGTTTTTTTATGTGTTTTTGCTGTTTATTTACACGACAACGGCGTTTTTGGGGCCTGGAAACGCAAACTTTTGAAAACAGGTTTTAAAGTGCGAGTTTTTGAAACCTGCACAGTTATTGGCTCCGTGTAAATCACAAACACATGAATTTGTGAAAATGGTGACGTCATGCACATGTGTGTCACGTGTTAAGTCTTTAGCAGCGTAACGTTAGTGTTTCTTTACAAAGTAACATCGCCAACTACTGGCCTGGCAGCAGAATACAGCATTTTTTATAATTTTCGCAGATCCTATGACAGGGATTGTTTTGACAACGTTGTCGTCTGTACTTTTCTGTATTTAGTACATTGTTGCCGTGTAAATGTGCCCTTAGAAATGTTATATAACACCCTACAAAATATAGCCTACTCAAAACATTGTTTTTAATATTGTATTAAATATTTTCATATTGAGTGTTTTAGTAGTGAAACATGCTCATTCCCATTTAGAAATCTGTCAGTATTCTTAATGAATATGTAATACCTTATGTACAGTTGGTACAGATAAAAAAATTGAACTATAAAAAGTTTGAAAGACATTTTAAAGTACAGAGAGCGTGCTGTAACTTATTTTCAATTCACAGGTCTTAGTAGAATATCTCTCTAAATTAACCACTGATAATGTGTGCTTTGACAAATAATGAGCAAAGAAAGATAAAAAGAAAGAACATTTCGAACAATGACATTGTTAATAGGTTTTCCATCTTAAACGGTTTATCCATTTTCCTAAATGATGTGTAAGCACTTTGTATGGCAGGTGAGTGGTGCAGTAAAACCTTTAAACTGCCCTTTACTGCTGACAGCTCAATCTACTACAATGTGTCCTTGCCTTTGCTCCGATTTACGGCGAGCACTGCTAACTTCTCTCTTCATTGGTTTAATAACTTGCAGGAGAGATTTAAAGGGAACTTTTAGGAGAAATGTAAAATGGATTTGCTTACTTGTCCGTTTTCTTCTATAGCACAAGATGAGGATGAGCGCTGCCAGCAGAATGATCGTACACACCGACACGATCACGGCGATCACAACTGTGTGGTCCTGTGTAGTTTGCGGTGGCACTGCAAAAACACATTTGTACGTTTATGGCCACTTCATTTATATGCACAAACTGACCCAATGCATTTATTCAGTATTTTATAGCTATAAGGAGAAGACGTTATATGCAGCCGATACCCACTGTCACTTATATCATATAAACTGTCACTTATATCATATAACGGTCAACGTGATTTTGTCAAGTAAGACATTTTCCTGGGTCAACATATTTTATTGATCCTGGTACAACAATCCAAAAACATATAGGGCCCTATCTTGCACTCGGCGCAAATGACTTTGTACACTGACGCATGTATCATTCCTATTTTGCACCCGCCCAAAGCGGACTTTTCCCTCCACAGACACACGTCGGTTAACTAAGAAATACACTTGCGCTCTCCGGGGCGGTTCAGCGCAAAGAGGAGGCGTGTTCCGGCGCAAACTTTCCCTCATGCTATTTTGCTGTTCTATAAAACAATTGCGCCATTGACCAGAAAAAACCTAGTCTAAAGTCAGTGGCGCGTTGCGCGTTGTTCATTATGCTATTTTAAGCGCGCATGCTTGGCCATAATCAATGTAGCGTGTGCACAACGCGCATACACTTTGATTCTCTCATCTAAGCAGCAGTTTTCATTTTTGCAAATCATACATTATTACGATAGATAGATAGATAGATAGATAGATAGATAGATAGATAGATAGATAGATAGATAGATAGATAGATAGATAGATAGATAGATAGATAGATAGATAGATAGATAGATAGACAATTTATTATAAAAGCATACATGTAGCTTACACATTTACCCAAATTATCATACGCCTGTTTAACAGAAGTTAATTTGGGTGGGTTTCTCCATCCCCAAAGTCACTTCTCTGTGTTTTACGGCCCTGACGAGAACGTTGCTCTCCTCGGCTGTGAACCGCTCCTGGCGCGCGCCTGGCAAATCCGCCGTTATAATAGGAATCCGCTTTAGAACAAGCGCGCCTGCTCTTAAAGGGAATGTGAGATGACGCTCTGATTGGTTTATTTCACGTTAGGCCCAAACCACACCTATGAATAATGAAGCTACTTCAGACCAACCCCTTTTAGATTTGCGCCTGGCGCAAGAGGCATTTATCCCGCCGGGAAAATAGCAACAGCGCCGGGATCCGCCCACAAAGTTACTTGCGCTTTGCGCTTTGACACTTGCGTTTCAGATCGTTAAAATAGGGCCCATATAGTCCTAACCTTATCCCTAGCCCTAAACCTAACCCTACCCATAAGTTATCCCTGAAATTAGAGGGAAATGATAGTGAATAACACTGATGTAGAAGCACATAGCGCCTAAACTTGACATAAACTGTAAACTTGTCCCTCAAATCTGATTGGTTGAATGGGATGTTGATCCAGAAACATGTTCACCATCATATAACACATGCAGTATATCTACAATAAGATTAAATTAAATCAAGTGAAAAAAAATCTAAACAAAAGAAACTTTTTCAAAACTTTTTATTATTTTCATATTGATATATCATCCACCTGTCCTACTTTATATTGTCTGTAACTACTATGTACTAACATTTAAATTAACAATTTGATACAATGCATTTATTGTGTAGCCTACATACATGTTTTACACTGTACTTAGCCTATATTTAAAAATACCTGCTTATAGTTACAGCTGTAATTAATTTCCGCAGTTACTTCAATAATTACGCTGTTGACCCTTCCCTCACACCTTAACCCACCCTCTTAACCCACCCATACCACCACACCTGTGCCGAACCTCACCCGTATCCCGCCTCAACAGCAGCACGAGGGTTTTGCAATACAACATGCAAGAGACAATAAGTGCATTGTACCTAAACAAAGTGATGGATATGAATGCGCATTGGTTTGTTTGCAGGAGGAGCTCATTGATGTCCGATCACTCGTACCTACAGTCAGCTGGACGCTGCTGGTTTGCTGGGCTAAAGCTGCAGACACAGACGCCACACACTCCACTGCGCCGCTCGCCTCTGCTCTCATCTCCAGCACACTGGTGGAGGTGAACAAGCCGCTGGGGTCCTGAAGACTGCTGGTGTTGTAGTCGCCTCTGTCCACAGCCGTGGCGTTGACCACCCAGGACACCGAAGGCTTCGGGTACCAGCCGAGCGCTTGGCAATGGAAGGTGACAAGCATTCCTTCTTGAACTGACAGGTCACCCTCCAAAATCCTGACAGTTCCTTTTTCTAGATTTAAAACGAGACGTTTTGAGTTAAGCGTCCTCAAAAAGTTGAGATGTCTCGAAAAGTATTATCTCATCACAATTGTTAATAACATATATTCATTTCATTGCATTAATTGACAAAACATACACACGCACATCAGCAAAAGTCTGTAAAAATAGGGTCCACTGTTTATATGAAGGTATTTTCTGTATTGATTTCACATCGATTTTTTTTTCAGTTTTACACGTATTTTGAATTAAGCTGTGCTTTGTGTTTTTAGGTTAAAGGAAGATTTATTTTACAGTATACATGTTACATGTAGTTACTATAGTAATAACTATAAATTACGCATAATTACATGCAACTGACCCTAAACCAAACCCTAACCCTAATAAGTACATTTCATGTAGTTACTTAATATTACTCAGTACTTAAATTTATAATTACAGTGTAACAAAGACACCTTAAAATAAACACTAAAACCTGTTTTATCATTTAACCCTTTCAGGTGGCGGCCATATTGGATTTAGGGAATTTGGGGGGTCTTGATATACCCAATCAGAAATGTAAGTATTCCTATGGGTTTCCCTTGGTCAAAAAAGGTAAAATAGACATCAAGTTTGTATCTCATCTGGCTCAAAAGCTATAGCCGAATCCCTTTCAGGCGGCGGCCATATTGGATTTGGCCGCCATCTTGGTCTCAGGGACCATCGCCATGGCTAAATCATTTCAGTATGCCCTCAGCTACATCTGTGCCAAATTTGGTGCTTGTAGATGAATTTGCGCAAACAATGGGGTGTAAGGCCCCATACTACAGCCCAAAATGCTTTTTTGGACAGCGGCCATATTGGAATTGGAGGATCAAGGGGTCCAGATATACTGGGTCATAAATATAGACATTCCTATGTGTTTCCCGTGATCAATTAAGCTGAAAAACATATCAAGTTTGTATTTGTAACTCCTGTGGTTCAAAAGTTATAACCGGAACCCTTTTCAGACAGCGGCCATATTGGATTTGGCCGCCATCTTGGCCCCGAGGGTCCTGTCTCCGGCGCCCTAGCTAAATCATTTCAGTATGATGTGAGCTACATCTGTGCCAAATTTGGCGCTTTTAGATGAATTTGGGCGAAAATGTGCTTAAGGCCCCCAACTATAAGGATTTCAAGGCAAAAAAGACATGTGAACCAAGACCTGAAGTGGATGATTTTATTACCGTAAAACTTCAAATAGTAGCCCGGGCTTTTATTTTCCCAAATCGTCGAACTGCACCGGCTTGTATTTGAGACAGGCGTCTATATGAGACAGGCCTTTATAATTTAGTGTTGAGATGTTGTTCATTGAGTGTATAGGCCTGTCTCTAATCTCTAAAAATCTCCAAATGCTCCACGTGAAACTGCGGTCTTCCGACCTTTTACTATCGCGTCAATTGATTTTGATTAATATGCGCGAGGGAGATAGAGCAAGACAGCGCTCGTGTTGTTTGAAGACGTGAGAGTGTGTGCGCGCGCGCGGCCGGGGCGCTCTCTCTCTCTCTCGTAACGCGCCCTGTCAAGCGCAGCAGTCATTCTATTTTACATCACTCACCGATCAAAAAAGGCTTTGGAGGGACAAAAATTTACTTTGGCGGCCGCCAAAAAGCGGCCAATCTGACGGTTTTAGAGGATTGAATACAACCCGAAACTAAAAAACAGACCCGGCCTCTATTTGAGACCGGCCTTTATTTACCCAAACCTGCAGCCACACCAGGCGTGTAAAAGAGACAGGCGTCTATTTGGGACTGGGCTATTATTTGAAGTTTTACGGTATACTAAAAGGCTGTAGCTAACAAGTATAAACTACCAATCAGACGACAGAAGGCATAGTAGATTGTGTCTAACAGGTTTTTTTAGCAAAGTTTTGATCATGTTGATAATTTAGATGCCTTAGAAATTTGCATGTCCAATATTATATAGTCTAAAACGGTTCAAACCTAACAAAATACGTTTTGTGAAATGTTTTGCTTGAAAAGAATGCATGTGCTTTTTCTTTTAAATGAATGTCACTCGGTTTTCTATTTGATCAAATATTGCGAAGACGTTTATACATTTTAAGTGTGACTTAGGAGTTTAAATACCTTTCGAGGCCACTTTATATGTGTTTCTCTTCCACTTTCCACAATTTTTAAATGATTGATGGTTCATAATTGAGTTGATGTGACTGGTAAATGTGTGACAGCTAAATTGTCTCTTTTAAAAGAACACATTATGGGCTTTTTATTCCTCCTGCAAAAGAGAAACAAAAGGTAAAGCAGTGAATTGTTATAGACAGCTGGGTAATTAGTTAAAACTTTCTCTTTCTCTTAGTGAACTGCATGGCCACAGCAATTCATTTGTAAAGGTTTCACTGAGTAAGGCTAGTGATTGTCTTATACTGTACCTAATAATAATTCATGTCATGGACCTTAGAGACTTTGTTAATATATATGTATATGTATATATATATATATATATATATATGGCCCTTTAACTAACACACAATGTGATTATGGTTAAAAAGTGATTGCTGTTATAATGAAAAAACATAGTTTTAAAATTAGATTCAAACACAAGATTTTTACATGTTTGAATGATACAAAAGCAAACTCATTACTAGGATGTTTTGGCTGGTTGACAGGGCATTTCTAAGGTTCTTGTGGGGTATTTGCCACATCGCTAGGGCGTTGCTAGGGTGTTCTGGGCAATTGCTAGGTGGTCCTATAACCAAAAGAGCTCACCACCAACCAGGCAACAAAGTATGATCATAATAGCAATAAGTTATGTGATTTGAGGTATCAGTACTTTAAAACTACACGTTCAAATCTTAAAAAGAATCAAATGTCTGTAATCGTTTAACAATTATGTAATATTTATTTTGTTTGCCATAAGACACAGCAGTTTTCTGAATGTAAGAATATAAAAAGCACCATAAAATGATCATAAACACAATCAATTTTAATATTGCGCTGTACTTCAAATGTTCAGAATCCGTGTGAGGAACAGAGCCATTCAGAACTGAAAAGTCAACATCAGTAACCGGTGGCCGGTAACATTTTTATGAATTCTAACAATATAATGTGTGAGAACATGAATGTGAACAAACGTGAATGACGTTTGGAACAGTTGACATGCCAGCGCTGCATCATCACGAAAGTTTAAGCCTTGCCAACTTAAATATTCAAGTTCAAGACATGAAAGGGAACTAAATTCATTACTCGCACGCTGTGAGGGAAGTTTAAACAGAGAGCCCGCAAATACTAAATTGAGTTCTCTTTCACATCTTCTTGCGCTTGAACGGACAAATTCACAAAAAAAATGTGTACAAAAAATGCCCATGTCTGCGAGTATCCTAGTAAACATAGTCAGTTACGTCTTAAATGAACGTAAACAGTTGAGAAAGAAAACACATGTGTACAGAATGCATCAGTATATTGGATCAGTCTTAAAGTGACAGCAGCCTAATATAAACAGCTGCTGTCTGCATTTTTAATGTTAACAAATACTCACTGCTCTTGACTGAATAACTTTTGAAACTTTAATATGGATTCATCTTTGTTGAATTATACATTTGATTAGCCTACTTTATTAAATTTCTGTTCCTGAATTGTGAATTTTCACTGGTATCTAAAATGTTGGTGTCATAACTGCCTGTTCCCTTTCAAACGTGAATCTCAACGCTGCGCTTGATTTAAGCGCTATGGGAAAACGTCTTCTGATGACATCATCTTCAGAGGTTATTTAAGCCAAATTCGGCCATTTTTGCCACACATGTTCACAACTGGTCAAACGAATATGTTTTTAAATCAAGCGCAGCATCTCGTTCCCGCTTTTTCGGGGAACAGGGCTACAGGCAAGTAACCCAAGTCGTCTTTGCGTCTTTATGGCCAGTAAAAAAAACTATTTATGGCCGGTAAACTTTCTTAAGTCAAAAAGTTCGTTTTAGGCCCAAACAGTGACACCAGGCTGATCAGACAGTCACATCCATAGCACAAAAAAACAGTGTGTGAGTTATGTGTCAGTAAGTTATACTGAAATGAAATCATTATCAAGTTCAAATTACAGACTGAATATTTTAATAATGTATTTTTTTGCTGATAACAATAAGAGTTACATAAATATCTAGCGCTGAGTCTGTGTCTTGACTTGACTGTGTAATTTGAAAGCAGAGCCATTCATCCCGTGTCAACTGGGTGATTTTTTTTTTCCAGCAGGAGGGCCAGGCAGGGAAAATTACTGTCTATGAGACAGCGTTTAATCTGGAAGAAGTATGGCTGGCCATGCCTCTAATGAAAAGCTTTGTGAGCAATCCTGAGTCCGAAAGCCTGACACACGTTTAGCCCTTCCTGATTTACGTCCTAAGCCTGATTCTCTTGCCAAGCTAATCTGTAGAGGAAAGTCATAACGAAAGTGAATATGAATAAGAGATGGGCTACGTCCCATTTCACATACAATCCATCCTAAATAGTATTCAGGATTAGAATTAATGTGTCCCAGTATTATGTCCTAGGACTCATAGGACTTGTGTGAATGATAAAAACGCCAAAAAATATCCCATACTTAGCTACATTGAAGGAGAACCCAAACTAGGGACGAGAATATCATAGAGACTTGAGGGAGGGCTCTTTTGATTTGGACAACCGACAACTCCCTGAGCCCTCTAGCAACATGCTAAAAAACCCACAGAACACCTTAGCAACACTCTGGCAACCACCCACAATGCCTGCAACATACGCAAAAAATGGCTTATATTTTTTTAATAATTAAAATATAAAAAAATATCATGCCTGTGGACTAATTTCTTTAAATTGAATATATGCTGCTTCTTGCACTTATCGCAACACTTTCAAAGTGAATTGATTGGCGCTAAAAGCACATTCAGTTTTATCTGAAACAGATAAACGTGAATATGAAAACATAGGTTGTTGTATCATGGCGGTAAAAGGTTGATGCTTTATCGTGTTATGAATAACGTACAGCTGAACATTAGTGTTAATGTTTCTTTTTATC